ATAAAATTAAGAATTAAATTGGGGTGGCAGTGCACTGTACGGTGGAAGCAATTTTTCGAAACGCCTATTGGCGCCAACAGCAATGAAAAAATAACCCTATGTTGGTCTAGTGAATTTTTATGACACCTTGAGAATTTGGAATTCTTATTTTTACACGATCGATCTGAGGATAAGCGCAATTTAAAATGGATGAGATAGGATAAATTGAGCCTCTTTCGTTTAATGTTATTTTTACAATTGCAAAAATAGATCTACCAGACTAGCTTAGGGTTAAGATTTGTCGGTTGCTGAGTGTAACTTTAAATCTTTGAAAGTAATTCTTTGAGAAAATTAGTTTTATTTGTGTGAATAATTATTTACCTATAGAACATTATCCATGTGCTGTAATAGAAGTGAAAAGTGTGACAAAGTTTTTTTATATATTTATGTAAAATTAGAGTTTTATATATTTGAGTTTCATAGATATAAGAGCTGCGGTGTATTTAAGATAAGTGCAAGGCCTGTGAATAATGGTAGTCGACTAAGTTTCACAAGATTAGAACGCGTTCTCACATTACCTTTATCTCTTTCTTCCAGATCATAACCTTTAATAATGGTAAGAATTCACGCTTTATAACCGTGGTAGATAGGTATAACATCTTGAAATTAAACCGTCCCCTGTTATAAATAATCCTGATCGATATAAGTCTCGTTAATTTATAACTAGAACGGAGAATATAGAAAATAGGTTTCTGAACTTCCATAATGTATATTCCTTCGTATTAATTTTTTAGTAACCCTTCTTTATACATTTTAAAGTAGCCTGCCTTTGATTAATTCCGATAATGTACCGGCCATTTTAAAACCCGTTCTTTGTACTCTTTTTTTTTAAAAAAAAAAACCTGCATTTTTTGCAGAATACTGTCACTCATTTACTTAATAGGCCGTAGCAAGTGCAATTTCCTTTATCTCATTTTTAAGAAAACTCTTTATGATTACACGCACCCGAATATGGTTAATTCTCATCAAACACTTTCAAGAACCCCCTGCTCCTTAACTGACAATTTGAATGTGTCATTTCTTCAAAAAGATGCCGACTTATAATATAATCCGCCATGAAATCTTGCACGAAGAATCTCAAGCATTATACGTCTCTTCGGTCGTAAACTTGTAAATCGTTCTTTCGAAAGTATTGTCCACGCTATTTTCGTTGAAAAGAACCTTCATACGCGTATTATTCAAAACATAACCTATCAAAAGCACGAGTGAAAAATCTTACCGTCGTAAAGCCTCGCTTTCATATTATCCTTTTCAAGCATACGAATCAACGTTTCGTAGATGTTAACCTTACTTTTATCCGATACAATAGAATTCTCCTTATACCACAAACTTTTCATACTATATCAAATATTTAACACACGAAAAGCTCACCTGACGAGCGTTTTACTACGCAAACACTGAAAATCCATTCTTGACGCTTCGATCGCTAATTCAGCCGACAAATTTGCACCAGTTCCAGCCTCTAAACCGAACCGAGCGCTAAACCACTTTCGCGCTGACCTCAAAAAGAACCATTGAGATCGCGGCCAGTAAATCACCCGCTGCAACGCGCGTTCCCCCCATTAGCCGTCCCTTGATTTACCAAAAAGTCAAGCTCGTAGCTTCGCTGACGCAACGTTAATGACGTTAATGACCGCGTTACCGACATTCGAGCTAACCTTTCGTTCCCCACCACGCAACGTAGGATCGATCAGTCGCTGAGATCGATCGATTATCGTCGACAATAGGCCCTCTTGCGTTCGCTATGCTCGACAGGCGAGTTTTCACCGGCGAGTATCGTCGCTCGCAACGGGCGTGTATCGTTGTTATGCACGAGCAATCGCGCGACTTAATTGGCGTCCCTCGGTTTTGCTCGGAGCTGCACGAAATCAGCAATATTATCGCGTGAAAACCTTTAAGGCCGGCCGAAAGGGGAACCGTCGTCGTCGCGCACCAACAATCCCAATAATTGCATGTGACAGTGGAACGCGTTACGCGCGAGATAATTAATCGGCCGATTAATTAAGCGGCTCGAGATCGCCGAACCTTTTGAAGAAATACTTGCTTCTCGCAAGATCGTCTATCATCGTGTGAATACCGCTTGTCGACCTTCTTTTCGGATTGATTTTGCATGTTTGGATGAAAGTGATGATTCACGTGTTTCTGTGTATGAATGTTCTGTGTGCTATTGGCGATAGACGCTTCTTTTACGGAGATGCTGCTTCCCAATTGTGAGGTTAGGTCTTGAGAAAGGTATGAAACATTGTTTACACGTTTACTGTCTCGAATTAAATATGTGTGTCTTTTTAAATAGATTTTTTATATTTCAATTGCATTATTATCTTGATTACTCGTGTAAAAATTAAAAAGTGAATTTAGTGCGTAGGTAAACGAACGAATTCAGGTTATCTTGAATTACAGGAGAAGGATTATTTGATGTTTCGCGGAACACGTAGAAGTGTGTGTTATTAAATCTTTTGTTTTGTCATTCGTAAGAAGGAATTTCGTGTGGAATGCAATTTTCAATAGTTCACGGTAACAATAAATTTTGTATTTAGAATTTTTTACAGTGATAAATAACGGCATAGAAGTCAATTATCGTTATTAGACGGCGATTTTTAATGCAGACTTTGCTTCATCAATTCAGCTTTCCATAAAAAGCTGGCTATAAATTCGGATGATTTCATACATTCGCGTGGTACAGTGTACGAGAAATATTTGTCATATTTCCCGTTCTCCCGTATATTCATATTCCGCGTGAAAGGCGCTTTTTCAACCGGACGTTATACATATACTTTTAAGCAGATTTCACGTGGAACGGCAGATGATATTTCACCATATTTATTTTTTCTACGGCAGCGTGTCACAGTAACCTTCATTTCTGTATTCTCGCGCGCGTGTGTGTGTGTGTGTGCAGCACGGTTCCTTGTTTGTTGAATATTTTAGATCGGCCCGGAGTATTTTCTTCAAACGTACGCTCGCTAAGTTATTTATTCGCCGGACGGTGCAGCAATATTTTCAGTAGGAAAATGAATGTTATCCCGGTGCTCCCACCAAACAGATAAGCGCAGTAAAAAATCGCCCACTCTCGCGTGAGCGTTCAAAACCGCGTAACCTTCAACTCGAAGAAATAATCTCCTGGGTGAATCATGGTGGAGATATTTAAGGTGGAAACTCTAGATAAAACACCTGGTATTTCACTTTCCAACAGATGCATGCTCTGTAAAAATAATCTCCGCGTCTTCCTTTTGAAATATGAACTGTCCCGCCAAACAATTAAAAATTAACCATTCCTACACATCGTAATATTTTTTCTTCTTCTCTGTTCGCGATCTATATTTTTTGAACTGCATAACACAAAAATCACGATTACACACCGAACGACAGAGCGATTAAAAAGTCGAAACCAGAGTCTAGAACGTGGTGTCACGAATCGACACTAACGGGGCCCATGGCTGAAAGTCTCTAAGAAAGATTACGGACCGGCACCATAAATTATCGTTCCACGGAGTAATTCCATGACGCGTGCGGCTAACCGCGCGCGTCCGCTCATTTAAACGCGTGAGTTGCGCTTTGTCCGGCAGATCGTAAAGTTTTCCGCTCGAATTTAGTTTCGATTCAACTCGCCGGCTCGCCTCTCGATACCTGACCACCTACGACTATAGTGGTGTCGTATAGTGGTGTGGAAGGTTCGATTTTACCAATGAAAATGTAAGCTCTCGATCGTAGATCGGCGAAGAAAATTCAACTTCGATCGCAGCGACTTCTACGAGTGGAAATTTAAGCTTCGTTGTTTATACATGTGACATTCGTTCCGTCCCGACGCAATGCTTGGTAACGCTGGACATTTTATTGCGCAATTCGGTGAAATGTACTTCCTGATCTGTTTGCTATTCGCTGGTCTCGACGCTCACCGTTGTGTCTTCGATTTGCATCCGTGCATTCTTCAAGTTTAATCCTGTTTTAGTACGGAAGCAGGGGGAAGGTAAAGGGGAAGTCTCTTCCTTTTACTACCACGGTGAACAGTAAATAGTGAATATGTGCTTTGCTCGTTGAAGGAGCAAAGTGTTCTTGTTACATCTCTTAGAGAGAGTTTGTTTCGGTTTCCTGTTTGAAGATGTTCTTGTTTGATTTGCTGCACGGGTAGAAGGGGAACGTTATCGGTGTGTAGATTTGTAAGAGAGGTTCTTTCGATCTTGTAAATCATCGGAACATCGTTACGTTCCGCGAGAGGAGCAATGGCATCTCTTCTCTAGGGATGAACCGTTTGTTATTAGCTACGATCGAATGGATAACGGCGCGAAATAATCGAACACGAATCGTCGATTCCTTCTAGCGATTATCCCTGTTTCTTACTTTGACTATTCATCGGCCTGCAAAAAGAGTTAACTACTTCCGCGTAGAAGAAAGTCCATTATGTTAGACGTTGCTGAAAAACTTACTCTTCACAGAGATACTTTCAATCGTGTTTAATTTTTACGTATTCTTTCAAGTGAAATTTTGCTATCTGTCAGGAATGATTGATTAAGAATTTTGTATCTCTCCTCACATCGTATTTCTCCTTAATCGATGGTTCAAACGCATCCTTAAACTTTATCGAACGTAACGTTCAGTTCTTACATATTTAAAAGAATCAAGTGTTGCTGTCTATCAAAACTGATCAATTAGGAATTATATTTTCAATTCACATTTAGACTTTATTTCATACCGCAAGAACCTACGATTCGTTTCGTTTATTTTTCCACGTAGATCATCCGACATTGAAGTCCATACAGAAATGTTTAGCACAACATACCCGCAACATAGTGCATCAACAGTCCAATTAAGTAATCCCATGATTACCATTTTACAGCGCACTCGAGTAATCCCACCGGCAATAATAATCAATTACACCCTAATCCATCTTCATAAATCCCAGTGAAATAACCGGAGGAGGAGGAGAACCGAAGAAGAAGAGAAAATACGTGTAAACCTGGACTCACCCAGGATGATGCCTGGTATAAGTAGACGGCGTAGTCGTGAGATGCTGGTAGGTCTGAGTGACGGCTTCCCTGGCCTGGTGACGATGATTGTTGTGATAACCGGCATAAGCGATGGCCCTGGTGCCTCCGTATTCCGCGACCGCGACTGCGCTGAACTTCTCCGGTTTCGATGTTCTCTGTTCGTGAACACGTTGATCCACGTGATGCCTGGACGCGGTGCCGGTTTGCGGTGCGATCGTCGAACTTCCTCTGTCGGCCAACAAATCGTTCCTATTCCAACCGTTCGTCTGCTGGAAACTCCTTCCGTCGCGATCGTGACGTGCACGAGCAAGATTCTCGTGGAACCAGACCGGCCATAGTAGCCTATGATTAGCGTACTCGTGTTGATCACCGGTTACATGTTCAGTCTTCAAGATCACAATGGAGAAAAGGAGGAAAAAACACAGGAGAGAAATTTTCAACGCTGAAGCCATAGCTATGGCCAACCTACAGATCGATTACTCTCTCTCACTCTCTCTCTCTCTCTCTCTCTCTATTTCGTGACGATTAGCCTAGCTTGGGTAAAATGACACACAACGAACGATCACATTCTCGATTATTTCCCTCCAGGTTTGTACAGGCGTGCCGGGTCTCTGGCTACGTCGAACAGTCTCGATTGGACATCCGGTGCGAAATCGTTCGAAGGCAACCGAGAGCACTACTGAACGAGACACACGGAGTAGGCCCCACGTGCTTGAGCCGCTCGTACCAACCCCACCATTCTTCTTTCTTTCTCTCTTTCTCCTCGTTCACCATGCCACATCCCGCCCCTCGTCCTCTCTTCCACCATCGTTTCTCGTTCGCCTCTCTTGTTCGCTCGACCAGACCGTTCTTTCTTTCTCCGGTTCTCCCCCCGGCTTTTGTCCCGTTCTCCCTTTCTACCTGTCTGCTCTCCTGATACACCGCCAGCCGCTCGGCTAACCACCTACATATCCTTGCACGCGTTCGACGAGAAACGTTTAGAAGGATAGAGAGGCGGAACGATGTGTGTGCCGTTTGTTCCATGGGGATAGATGCGCTATATAGGGACCTCGGGTCGATTGCGAAACTCGAAGGGTACGCTTGTTGCGATAGTATTTTTTCCCTACTTCCTCCTCTCTTTCGTTGCAATTTTTTTTCTGTTTTCTCCTTTATCCGAGTCGAGGACGATCGTTGTAACATTGGTCAGACACGTACAGGGTGTACGTTAAGTAAGTATTATTTGGGAACGTGTGAATTGGTAAGGACGAGAGAATGTTATGCAAATGTTTTCGTTGGCCTGGACGGGAGTTTCGCCTGGGTTGTTTTCGGGCCGCGGAAGATTACGCGAAATTCTTGAAGCGTCTACTTTGTGCTCCGGTATGGCACGTCTTAATTCCGCGGCTGTATTCTTTGGAAAATACCGGGCGTTGCTCGGATAACCGCGAAACCCGGCAATTTCTACGGCGAGCTTGGAGAAATTTTAAACGCGACGCCGGGGAAAACTCGTCGGTTTTTTCAAATGAAAAATGCAGATTTTCTTTTTTTTAGGTTAGAAACCAGATAATTCTCACTCGAAACGTGTAATATTAAGATTTCTTTTATGTAAATATTTCTCTTACTGCTGTGTATATTGCATTATTATCTCATGAATTATTCATCGGATTGATTGAAATTGTAAGTGGACGGAACGCTGTAATTAAAAGTGAGAGATAGACAAGGTGTTCTAAACTGCATCGATAATAACGATTACACACGATTACTTAACGCACTAAATTTAGAAGCATTGAACAAACGTGGAAAGATAGCGGACCTCGTTTTTCTGTTTAAACTAGATAACAGACGTATCTCTATTAAGCAATATTATTCTTCACGCTGTTACAAAATATCAAGAAAAGAAGTCTACTGCTTACGTTACAAAACAGTTCTGCCGTATCCTCTAACTTACGTATTAACTGCGTTAAATTCTTCTCAGGATCTATAAACATGTGTACACAGTGGTGTGACGACATAGTTGTCCGACTTGATCATAAATCCCGCGCCGTTATTTGTCTTACACGCGTTATGTTTACATTACACGTGTACATTAGGCGTCTAATAAATAACAATAAATAAAATCATCCTCGTAGAAGTTAGTTAAAGAAAAAAGCTCGAGGAAGGAGAGTCGCAGCAAGCTTTCACGAGGCAAACATCGCCTGTCTCCTTTGTTCGAATCCCACAGAACTCCCACATGCAATCGATTCTAACGCACCTAAAAGCGTTTCTCAACGAATCGAGAACTCATCGGTACGGGGGGGAGGCACGCCTGTGTTATTTCACCCGGCCAATAAATCAACAATTTCCACCAACTCCAATTCCTCGTGTGGGGAAAAAAATGGAGAGCAGATGAGAGCGGAACGATCGGGGTTTCGCAACGAGGAGCGCGTTATATTGCCTTCTGCCCCGGTGCAATCGAGTTCGAGATCCCGAGGAACGCGGCGGCCCAGGAGTTTCTCTATTTACGAGCAATAAACGTTAGTCCCGGGCGTGCAAAAGGTGTCACGGTTTCTCTGCCCGCGAGACGAATGTAGGTCGTGAGTCACGCGTTCCCGTGGAACCGTGTGCGCGCCGCGGCGTTAGAAATTATGGGGCGAGGAAAAGCTCGCGATCCGGTCGCGTTTTGCACCGTTCGAACCGGTGTCAGCCCCGATCGATCTTGCATCCGGATAATAAAGGAACTGGAAAGGTAAAGGCCGAGTAACGCGCGCACTCGCGGCACCACGTTTACACGCGCAATTACGCCGCGGTAATGAATAGATGCCTGATAATGTGGCGTACGTATAGGAGACAATGCCCATGGCGCTGCTCGTAATTACTAGTGATTTAATGTCGGGCACGCTCGACCATTGTCTGTATGTCGATCTTTTACCTGTCAGCCGCTTCTACCTGCTTCTGGGGCCGTGTACCTGTGTATTATGTGTATATTGGCTCGAACAGGTACACAGGTTCAATGCCTTTCCTTGTGCGTATGGGATTTTTGTGTGAAAGTACTGTGCAGAGGAGGGAAGACTCTTTTTTTTTTTTTATTTTGGAGATCCTTGCAATCGATTTCGCGTTGGGAAGTAGGTTTCGGGACATGACTTTGGCGTGAAAGCAACTTTACTGGTTGCATATGCGATCGTTAGTACGAGGCTAATTGTAAGTATTAGTTCTTAAGTGTTGATACTGGGTTTAACAGCGTGTATCTTTTTAAGCTACGAGATTGTGTTAGTCTTGAGACTAGTGAGTTCGTGTGCTCTGATAATTGTTTTGTGGGCGGTTTGTTAAACTTTGTTAACTCTTCTTTGACTGTATCGCGATGTGTAATGTCGTTGGGGACGTACCAAGAGGCGTTGCACAGGTTAAGTACTGCCTTCGACTGATATCTTTGGAGAATTTCAATATTCGAGTTACTGCCTGTACCCCGTAACTGCAAGAAGAGAAGATGGCTAGTAGAATGCACTAGTTAGATGACTAATTTATTGATTCATGCACCGATAAACGCGACCGAGCTGCTGTATCCAAAACCATTTTAGTCATACATGTCTTCACTTTAAGTTCAAAGAGTTGGTTCACTCGCATTAAGTCATCCTTTAACTAAGAGCCGCAGCAACCCCCTTTCCACCAAATAACTGCAATATAAATCTTCCCAAAGTAGAGTGTTACTACTTAATGCGTTAATTTACCATCTTCCTATACAGTAGGACCTCATATAACGCGGGAAATATAATATAAATTAAGTTTCGCTGTCGTCGGTTTTTGTGTCAAATTCAATTTTGCAACTTTTTGATGGCGTTCTACGAGGTCCTACTGTATTTCTTCCACCAACTGTACTATTTCGTACGACGTGTCTTTAAACGTTGTTTATTTCTTCATTGTTTAAAAAACTAGGTTAGATTTCCGATTATCAGAGTTACGTACAGGAGTAATTTCTTTATCTTGATTGTCTTACAATCAAGTTAAGAGGAAGTTCCTTGTACAGTTCGTAAAAGGAGCTCGGCCAGCCCGAGGTGTACGGCCATTAAAACTTTGCAATTCCTCTTTACGAGCAGGTAGTATAAAATGATTTCTCTTACGGTGGAATAGTATCTTATGGAATCGATTTTCATCTACAGCAGTTTGTTTTTGCGTGGATGTTTAGTGCGTTGCGTAAATTAGTCGTGTATTAGTTAATTGGAAAGCCGAACTCCCGATGCATTCGGCGTAATTGCACGAACTCGTAAACCAACAGTTCGAACACGTCTGAAATTCGAATTTAAAATTAGCATTTACAAAAACCTGTTTATATCGCCCTTTAATTAATTATGCATTTTCGTTTCCTGAACGGTACGCGAGGCGAAAAAAAAAACACGATGATTTATTATGTTACAAAAATATCAGAACGTGACATTGAGATTCCTGCAAACAGCCGCTCGGAAGTATGAAATCACCGCGACCAAAAGAGGAAGATCTTGAAGGGAACAACTTCAGCATTCCTCGCTTAAGTATCTGTTACAATGATATTCTTGTTGTTGTTAAAGTTTCTTTAGGGAAAAAAGAGCAACGAATCAGCGACACAGCGGGAGACAGTTTTGTCGAATGGAAGCGAAGTTGAAATCGTTCGTTCGCGAAACTACCATTGCCCCGAATCGAACTTTTATTTCATCCATCAAACTTTTCCCGCGACGTCTATTTAAATTAAGCCACGCGGTATTGTATACCAGTTTGTCTCTCGGCGAAATTGAAATGGGGCTTAAGAGACGAACTGCACTGTGATTCATGATCGTCCTTGGAGGATCGGTACCACCCTTGAACTCCTCAATTCAATTTCACCCCGCCCCAGCGTGGAATTTTCTGGCGGTATACCGATCCGTATAAATCTAATTTGCAGACGTGTGCACCGTGTACCTACCCTCGGTATTTTCGCGTAAAATATCTTCAAATTAAGAGTAATCGACGCGAGAGAATTTCAATTCGTATCAATTTCAATTTCATAACTTCGTGAATATGTTCTGTGGGTGAGAAAATGTTAGGCGTTCGATGGTAACGATAATTATGAGTAATTCGTACTCCATTTATTCGGTGACCAAACATTTTTTAACCTGACCCCTTCGATAAATTTTGTGAGTGAAAAAATGTTAAACGTTCGATAATAATAATTAAGAGTAATCGGCACAGGAGAATTTTAATCCACACTCGATCTATACAGTGACCCAAGATTTTTTAACTTAATTTGGCCGATGTGCTCTGTGAGTGAAAAAATATTGTAATTAATTTTAAGTAGCACAGATTAGATCATATGTAATAGGCTATGTTTACACCTCGTCCTTACAAGTCAATTAAAACACAACAATTCTACTTTGCACACGTAATAAAGACACCTTGAAATCACGATCGTTTCAATATTGCATTGACAGACGCAAATCACAGCAATCTATGCTTTCACCTCGCGCTCACGCCAAACAAAGCCGTGAACCAA